AGCTACAAAATTCCGAGGCCACGCAGCATCTTGGTGGCAGCAAACCAAATCGACACAGTCTCGCAATGGGAAAAACGCTATTCAATCATGGGATAAGCTGGAAAAAAAAACTCAAAGACACGTTTATGCCTCACAATTATGATAGAACGATGTACAACAAACTACAAAACCTGAAACAAGGAGCTAGATCAGTTGACGATTACGCAGAAGAATTCTACCTATTGCTTACTCGAAACAAAATCGCAGATAGCCAAGTTCAATTGGTGTCACGATTCATAGGTGGGCTGCGACCTCAACTCCAAAGTTCTTTGGCTCAATTCGACCCTACAACGGTCTCGGAAGCTCATCGCCGCGCCGCCTCGTTTGAACAACAATTTCGCTCCTCAAAGTGGTCTTCATCAACTCCTCGTGCTCGTCTCTTGGAACAGAACAACACGTCCGCTAGCCCTGTCGCAAAGGACGCATCTGAACCGGGAAAAATAGAACAAAAACTTGGCTTCCGTGAAGATGAAAATGGAGTAAAGCGTTCAACCCGCAACGCACTTCGTTTTTTTTTCTTGTGGAGAATTAGGACACCGACAAACAGCATGCCCTAAACAACAGCGTCGTTCTATGCTCATTGACGACAATGGCGAGAAACAAGAGCCCGTTTACGATTCCACGGAAGAAGTGGATGGCGGTAATGACAATGAAGAACATGCAACGTTTGGCGACACGGGAACAACATTAGTTTCTCGCCGAGTGTTGGTGACACCTCCAGGCCAAGCAGACAATTGGCTCCGCTACAACATCTTTAAGTCAACATGCACCATTCGTGATCGCATTTGCACGTTTGTTATTGATTCGGGCAGCAGCCGCAACATCATTTCATAGGCAGCAGTAAGGAAACTTGAGCTTCCCGTGGAGACACATCCTTGTCCTTACCCTCTCACGTGGCTTCACGATGGTGTGGATCTTCGGGTCACACATAGAACGCTTGTACCGTTCTCAATTGGGCAGTTCTACAGAGATCGCTTTTATTTCGATATAGTTCCAATGGATGTAGCTCATTTAATCTTGGGAAGACCTTGGGAGTATGATCGAAAAATCATACATGATGGTTTCAAGAATACATATAAATTCACTTGGGAGACTCACCAAATTTTGCTCCTTTCCTCGCTAGAATTAACGTGTAACCCGTCACCACCACCACCCAAAGAAGAGCCTAAGTCACGGCCATCTCCTTTCTCACGGCTGTCCTTACCACCTACACAACCATCTGCGTTCTCACGGCTCTCGCTGCCACCTTCTCAGCCAACAAACCCACATCTTCTTTGCTCCTATTCAGCATTTGCAGCAGAGTTTCGTTTGGAAGGCGTTGCTTTTGCCTTGTTTACATATCTGACCAGCTCCCTGCACACCAAAACCGTAGCACCGTTCGCCACCCTCCTCACCGAGTTTAGTGATATTTTTCCGGATGAGCTGCCAACCGGTTTACCTCCATTAAGAGATATCCAACATCACATTGATCTCGTGCCCGGAGCAACACTCCCAAACCGACCTCATTACCGTATGAGCCCTACAGAACACGAAGAACTTCGTCGCCAAGTGGAAGATTTGTTAACAAAATGCTATGTCCGTGAAAGCCTGAGCCCGTGCGCAGTCCCCGCATTGCTTATTCCAAAGAAAGACGGGTCTTGGCGAATGTGTGTGGATAGTCGTGCTATCAACAAAATCACTGTGCGTTACCGGTTTCCCATTCCTCGTTTAGACGACCTCCTTGATCAAATCGAGACAACGTCAATATTCTCCAAGATTGATCTCAAAAGCGGCTACCATCAGATTCGAATTCGCCCGGGTGATGAGTGGAAGACGGCGTTTAAAACACGGGAAGGTTTGTTTGAATGGTTAGTAATGCCATTTGGTCTCTCCAACGCGCCAAGTACATTCATGCGTGTAATGAATCAAGCTCTTCGACCGTTCATTGGCAAATTCGTCGTCGTCTACTTCGATGACATCCTCATCTTCAGCACGTCCATGACCGAGCATGCCCAACACATCCGCGAAGTCCTTGTCGTTTTACGTCAAGAGAAATTTTTCGCAGCAAAACAGAAATGCGAGTTTGGCACCACCGAAATTCAGTTCCTTGGCTATGTGATATCAAATAAAGGATTGTCAGTGGATGAGGCAAAGATTGTCGCGGTCAAGTCATGGCCCGTGCCGCGCACTCTCACGGAAGTCCGTAGCTTCCAAGGCCTCGCATCTTTCTATAGACGGTTTGTTCCCCACTTTAGCACAATAATGGCTCCTATTACGGGATGTATGAAAGAAGGGAAATTCGTGTGGTCCAGTGACGCTGACCAAGCTTTCGCGATGATCAAGGAAAAGTTTACTTCAGCCCCTGTGCTAGTGCTGCCGGATTTTTCTCTAACTTTTGAGCTTCATTGCGATGCGTCGAAACTGGGTATTGGTGCTGTCCTTAGCCAACAAGGGAGACCAATATCTTATTTTAGCGAGAAACTCTCGGGAGTGCGTTTACGGTATAGCACTTACGACTCCGAGTTCTACGCAATTGTGCAGGCCATTCGACATTGGAGACATTATTTGGTGCACCGGGACTTTGTTCTCTTCACAGATCATGATGCTCTTCGCCACTTGGATAGTCAAGCCAAAGTATCGGCAAGCCATGCCTCCTGGATCGCATTCCTCCAACAGTTCACCTTCTCTATCCGCCATCAAGCTGGAAAAACCAACCGCGTCGCCGACGCTCTTAGCCGTCGCCACTCACTTCTCGCGTCCATCCATAACACCGTTCCCAGGTTCGCCTCCTTTGCAGATCTTTATTCAACGGACCCTTTCTTTGCAGCAATTTTCAGCGACGTTGAACGCGGGTTAACCGGCGACTTTACAATCCATGAGGGCTTTTTGTTCAAAGACTTACGTGTTTGTATCCCTATGTGCAGCCTGCGTTTACAGATTATCCGCGAGCTTCACAATGAAGGACATGTTGGTCGTGATAGGACGCTAAGTCTTGTGACCACGTCCTACTTCTGGCCATCAATTCGCCGTGACGTTGAACGTTTTGTGGAACGCTGTCATGTATGTCAAAAAGGAAAAGGCAAAGCGTCTAACGCCGGTTTGTACATGCCATTGCCCATTCCGGATCAGCCTTGGACTCACCTCAGCATGGACTTTGTCTTGGGACTACCGCGAACACAACGAGGTCATGATTCCATCTTTGTCGTTGTAGACCGTTTCTCTAAAATGGCTCATTTCATTCCCTGCAAGAAGACATCGGATGCGGTTAATGTGGCCACACTTTTTTTCCGAGAGATTTATAGGCTCCATGGACTGCCATTGTCAATCGTTTCCGACCGTGATTCTCGTTTCCCTAGCCATTTTTGGAGATCATTATGGAAGTTACTCCGGACTTCTCTTAACATGAGCACCGCATATCACCCTCAAAGTGACGAATAAACGAAGGTCGTCAACAGATCATTAGGCAGTCTCTTGCGTTGTTTGGTCGGAGATCATATTCGCAGCTGGGATTCAAAGCTTTGTCAAGCAGAGTTTGCTCACAATCATGCAGAAAATAGGAGTTTGGGTTTCAGCCCATTCCGCGTCGTGTATGGCCTGATCCCTCGCGGGCCGCTGGACTAGACACCAGTACCAGACCGTACCCGTTTCCATGGGCAGGCCATTGACTTTATTACGGAGCTCGAGCTGGTGCACAAGACCGCTAAGACCAATTTAGAAGCAGCTTCAGCTAAGTATAAGGTAGCAGCGGATGTCAAACGTCGAGAACTTCTCTTTGATCCGGGTGACTTGGTATGGGTCGTGCTGACCAAAGATCGACTTCCGGTTCGAGAGTATAACAAGCTTAAGTCCCGTCAGATTGGCCCGGTTGAGATCCTTGAACGTATTAACCCGAATGCATATCGCCTTCGGTTACCACCACATTTGAACACATCGGACGTCTTCAACGTGAAGTACCTTTCACCTTACCATGGAGACAATGACGAACCGGATTCGTGGGCGAATCCTCTCCCACCTGGGGAGACCTGATGTAGCGTACATCCTACCGGTTTACGACCGTCGAACAAGCGGACCGGTTTAGTATTACTTGTTCGACAAGTTAGCGTCATCTCATTATTTCGTTGTTTTGATTTCTTTAAACTCGGGATAAGTCTAAATCTTTCGAGATTAGATCATATCTTTGCTTAGGATTAGATCGCATCTTTGCTTCCGTTTTCCCTTTATATAGAGTCTCAAATCCATGTATCAACATCATTGATTTGAAAGAGAAATAAAAGAAAACCCAAAAAGAGGCAATCTTAATTGCCCAAAAGAGCTTGTTCCAAGCCCTGAGAGGAGGACTCTCGCCGGTTACGTCTCGTTCCCACTTCACCTTCACCAAATCACGTCTCTCCCTCACCACCTTTGTTCTGATCTCTCTCTCTTTATAAACCACCTGCAACTCCTCTGTTTTGCTTCCCAAAAACAGAGCACCCGTCCCTTACCTCTTCAAGCTTCCGCCTCTACACCAACGACTCTACGTTGGGGTTTGAATAAGAGATTGGCCGTCAAGATATGTTTTCGGGTAAGCTCCATGGTTTTTTCAGTGGGGTTTAAGATTTTTATGTTGGAAAATGATTAAAGGAATCGAAGGAGCACTTATAACACGAAATAAGTTAAATCAAATCAGGCAAAGGTATGTAGAAAACAACTTAGTTAAGGAAAGTAGCGAAAAAAACAGAGTAGCTAGAAAACAGTTTTGTTGAATTGGAACTTGGAGGACTTCTCCACCATAATTCAATTTTAACCCTTTTTTTTGTTTTTTTGGACAAAATAAAGTTTTAAGCTTTAACTTCTTAATTTAAGAGGATTTAAACTGTTGAACAGAAAAAAAATCAGAGGATTTAAATTTAATTTGTTAGAGAGACTAAAGCAAATAGAAAATGGAATTTGGTTTCCTTAACGAGACAGAAAGAAGATTTCAATACTTTTTACTTATTTCTCTCTTTCATAATGTAGAGACCCTTATTCATAACCATGCAAGGTAAAATCCAAAGTACATATAGTTACAGAAACACAATGATAACAACTGAGCTGAAATGCTTTAAGGCAACATACGTTTTGCTGAGGCGATGGAAGCCTCAACAATGCGGAGCCATGCTCGACGCCAAGGACAATCAAAGCACATAAGTACAAGAATACCTATCAACGCGGTCACATAAGTTGCAGCAGTACTAAAATAGAATACCACCATGTCAATAGCAGCTTCATCGCTTCCTTCTTCTCCTCCATTAACCGCTTCATCTGAGCTTTTATTAGCCTCACAACTTCTATCGGTCGGTGGTCCACAAAGAAGAGGATTACCCAGGTAGCTGTTCTCGTCGAAGGTGTCAAAATGCCTTCCTTGGGGAATGATTCCTGATAAATTGTTGTAAGACACATCCAATAAAGCAAGAAAATCAAGGCTGGTAAGTTGTTGAGGAATGCTTCCTTGCAACATGTTATGAGAAAGATTAAGGCTCTCAATATCCTTCAGATTGGAGAAGTTGGGTGGTATAGAACTCGACAAGAAATTGTGAGATAGATTCAACGCTCGTAGGTTTGAGAGATCTCCAAGCTCTTCTGGGATAACACTGCTTAATTCATTGCTTGACAGATCCAACCCATACATATAGTCAAGTATTCCTTTGTTGAACCCAGAGCCACCAAAGTAAGAATCATACCTTTGCTTCGTTGCAAATTTGATTTCAATTTTTTGAAAAGTAAAGTAGTCTACCTCGAGCTCCTCTACCATGAATGTGTATTTGTAAAATGCCAGGTCAAGGGTCTCTGTGGTGATAGATAACCTATTGTACGCAGATTCCTCTCCTCGTCCAAATGATAAATTATTGAGGCATGAAGGTATGAAGCCGTTGAGCTTGTTATCTGAGAGATCTAAGAGTCTGATCTTGCTTAAATCACAGAGATGTATTGGAATAGATCCTGTTAAATTGTTCCCACTCAACAAAAGAATTCTTATGGGGTGGGTATCAACAAACTTTGGGATACTCCCAGAGAGATTATTGTTCCGCAGATCATTTCATACGAGAATGTGTTGAAAACGGCTTGATAGAGGTAGAGCATGTGCCGGGGAATGAACAGAGAGCAGACATCTTAACAAAGGCCCTTGGGAAGATTAAGTTCAAGGAAATGAGGGAGCTCATAGGTGTGCAAGATGTGGTGATCAAGGATTTCAAGCTTAAGGGGGAGATTGTTGGTTTAAGCTTGAGAGGAGCTTAACCGGTGGGTTACTTAAACAACAAGTCATTGGTTTAATGAGATATTATTGTAAATCCTTTAGGAGTTATCTAGAAAGGATCTTTGTGTTATCCTAATTGAGATATGATTAGGTCATAGGGTTTTGTTATATAAGGACATGTTGTGTTGTGATATGACTTGTATCGTTTAGAGTTTGTAAAAGAGATTGAGAGATAGGCTTAGGTTTTTGAACGAGTTTTCCTAAGTAATAAAAGAGAGTCATTCTTTTGATTGTGTTCTTGATCATATATACAAACTAGACAGAACTCTCTATTTTTATAAATCAAAGACAACCACTAACACACAAAAAGAAACAGAGAATCTGAATTTTAATACCGCAAATCATCCAAACTTACAATTACAAAAAAACGATCGTTGCAGTTTTTAATGGATCTAAGGATAGTAGCAGAAAATTTTGAATGGGAAAACAAAATCAGAATCTATACTAGTATTTTTGAAGTACATTTTTAGCGGATGGTTAAATTGTTTTCGGATACAAATGGTACCCGACCCGATAAGAAATTTCCTTCATAAAAAAATTGGTTGGATCGGGTTATATCTAACCCAAATCTTGCACCGGTGTTTGCCTAAAAATCGGATACAAATATTACCAAAATTCGATCGTATTCACTAATTATGTTTCTATATTTAATAATAAAGATATTTAGAAGATTTGGTTCTGATTTAAATTTATAATTCTCCTTTCATCTTTGTTTGATTATTTTTTGTAACTGTTTTGAATTATCATATAATACATAAAGTTAAAAAAATCTCAATTTTTTTTTGCGTATATTATGATTTAAATTTTAAAAACGGACATATATTACCCAATTAATGAAAAAGTGCGTGTTCAACGTTCCACTTCGGCTAAAATGTTTAGACAATGATTCAGAGTCATATTATAAATAGATCAAAATGAATTCAAATTTGAATGAGCATGAACCTTAACTTAACAAGCATCCAAATTTAAAATTTTGTATACGAGTTAATTCGGTTTTTAGTTAAACTGTTTCATTTTACCAGAAATATTATAACTGATATATTTGAAAGCAATAGAAAGTTTATAATATTATGAACATTTGAACATATAAAAATAAAAAGTAACATGTGCCGAATTATATTGTGGGACGAGGTTTTATGGTGGCCTGGCAGGACGGGTTTTAAATCAACATTAATAAAAATTTAAAATATCATTAATTCACCGCTTCAATACAGGACAGTCTAAAATCAATAAAAAGTTTATAATATTTTAAACATTTGAACATATTAAAAAAATAGCACGGAACAGATTATATTGCGGTACGGATTATATGGCGGGACATATTTGAATTAACATTAATAAAAATTGAAAATATCATTAACTCGCCGCTTCAATACCGTTTCAATACAGATTAAACCCTCATTTTATTTTATTTTATTTTAATACCACGATTATTAGACATATCGAATCAGCCTGATTTAATAAGATTGTATAAAATAAAAATTATCTTGTGGTATACCACTACTTAATAAAAATTATAAACTATAAAAATATAAATGTCTTACAAAATGATACTAATTGCAAATTTTTCTATTTAATACATAATTATTAAATTTAAAAAATCACTACTTTTAGTAAATAAATTATCATGCGGTGTACCGTGAGTTAAAATCTAGTTAAAGAAGTAAAATTCGTGTAACAAATGACAAGAAATTCATATGACGATTACACTTATTCTACTTATTCTACTTATTCGGTTATTCCATTTGATTTGCTTATTACATACCACCTTGTATTGTTTGTTCCTTATTCGAAATTATATATTATAGAACAAATATTAGCCTAAAGAACGCTGAAACGGATAATAAGAGTTACAAAAACCAAAATGGGAGAAAAAAGCACGTGCTCGTATAGGAAATAAACCGTCAGAAACACGTGGCAGGAGAATCTTCTGTTCTCCTCTACCATAGGTAGGAACTAGGAAGGAAGGAAGTACATAACTTGCTTGGAGTAAACAATTCACGTTCATTTTGTAGCTTTATCCGACTTGACGTGGCAACTTTATACTTGTACTGCTGATCCTTTATCGTAAAAGCATTTTGTATTAAAGAACAAAAAAAAGCATTATGTATTTAGGAAAGAAAATTAGGATTCCTTTGTCCTCTTTGAACGAGTTAATTTTTTTTATCATATAATTAAAAAAATACAAAGATTATATTTCCATGAACTTTCATATATTTTTCCAAATATTTATATTGAAATATTAGAAGCAAACTTTTAAAATGATACTTAAAAGGAGTAGAAGAACCAATCCGAATATAAGTTCTCTTGTCTTGTAAAAGTTGTATAGAGAGAGAGTCAGAGAGAGAATGTTTCGCTTGTCTTAAACCATGTACGAATGATGGAAAAAAACAAAAAAACAAAACCAATGTACGAAAATCATCCATCCAATTAGTAACGGGCACGTCAGCATTAGCCCACGGAAACCAGACCATGTGAGTCACACGTGATGTTTTGTTCCTTATCTCATATTGCCTCAAACGCGGATTTGCTGCGTTTGCTGACCGAGTCGCTCTTTTCTTGACCTTTTTTTATGTGTTTTCTTGGAGGGCTTCTTTCCTTGCTGTCTTTGATTCTTTTTTTTTTAATGTTCTCTACGTTTCCTTAGCCTTATTTAGAAGACATACAATGCGTATGATACGCCTCTACGTACACATTTACATACAGCTATATATAAAACTAAAATCATCGCCTCCTTTTTAGTCACACATTATATAAACACCTAAAAGAAACAAAAATAGAAAGAAAACCCCAACAAAAAACAAGAAAAAAGGAGGAATTAATAACAAAGAAAACCCCAACAGAAAACAAGAAAAAAGGAAGAATTAATAACTTCTGAAATCTATGGCAAAGAAGGTAAGGAAGCTTCACGTGACGGTGAAGCCGGTGAGGCTTGATGGATTACCGGCTATTCTCGGTGATGAAACCGCAGGGAAGAACCTTTCCGCGATGGTAGAGGTGAAATGGAAAGGACCGGTCTCCGGTTTTGGATTAGGCTTCGTCCCTTTCTATCGGTCGAATCGACCGGTTAACCATACGAGCTCTAAACCGATTGCTTTAGGCGTAAGCCATGTAGAATGGGAAGAAGAATTCGAACGCGTTTGTTGCATTGTTGGCCCATGGAACCTCTCCTTCAATGTCTTCTACGTGAGTTTTCTTAATTCTCCTTTTTAGGATTATTAATTTGATGTTTAAACTCAATTAATTGAATTCATCTATTTTTGGCATTAGGGTGAGAATATGGACGCAAAAAACAAAAAGTCTTTGATCGGAAAAGCATCGTTGGATTTGTCGGAGTTAGCGTCGAAACAAGAATCGACGGTGGAGAGAAAGCTTCCGATTCGGTCAAAAGGTTCCGTACTTTCGAAGGAAGCAACTCTTTTGGTAATTAATCTGGTCAATTAAAATCTAACACATTATTTTTTTATTCACCAAAAGTCATTTTGAATTTGAATTATTCTTGTTCTCATTGGATATTAAATTAATCTCGGAAACATCATGGAAAGGTTTTAAAGACTTTCCTTAGAAAGAAAAAGTAAATTAATAATCTAATCCTTATCCTTAATTAATTAAGACACACGGTTGTTTATTTAAATCAGGTCAACGTGACTTTTTCCGAGGTAAGAACCGAACCAGACGACTTTATGCAACTTGGTCAGGTCTCCATTGACTCAGCAATTCCAAAGAAGATGTCAACGAGTCGCCGCGGCGGTGTAAGGGATTTTGATTCGTCTTCATCTCCGGCAACTGCGTCAAGTTCAGGTGGACGGAGCCCAATTGTTGAAACCGGGTCATCTTCAAGCCGGGATGAGAACCAATCTGAACCGGGTCAGAAAGCCGGGTTTAATTGGTGGAAGAGAAGACGGTTAAGCTTTTCCATGACATGGAGAAGAGAACCGGTACGTAAATGTTTTACTCAATTTTCAAAACCCGGTTCGCTTTTGAGCCTTAACCGGACCGGTTTATTTTTGCAGAGAGAAGATGAAGTTACAAAGACATCAACAAAACCTTCGGAGGAACCAGAAAAACCGTCGACGGCGGCGACGGAGCTAACGATCGAGGCAAACAAATGGGTAATGAAGGATTTAGTGAGCCGCAATGGTAAATCGAAACTGAAATCGGAAGTCTACTCAGCGTCGATTGATCAGAGAAGCGAGCAAGCCGCCGGAGAAGCAGCTTGCGCGGCGGTTGCAGTGGTGGTGGCGCATTGGTTCCATGCGAATCCTAAGCTCATAAATCCTTCAGGAACAGAGTTCGATTCGTTAATCACGCAAGGCTCTTCTTTATGGCAATCTCTTTGCGACAAAGAATCGTATCTGAGATTGTTCCCAAACAAGCATTTCGATCTGGAAACGATCGTTTCCGCGAATTTACGACCGGTTAGGGTTTGTACTGAGAAATCGATTACCGGGTTTTTCAGCCCGGAGAGATTTGCTTCGTTGGATGGTCTAATGTCGTTTGATCAGATTTGGGACGAGGTAGAGAAAGAAGTAGCGTTAGCCTCAAGTAATGGTGAAACTAGGGTTTATATTGTTAGCTGGAACGATCATTTCTTCGTGGTGAAGGCAGATTTAGATGGTTATTGCGTAATCGATTCGTTAGGGGAGAGATTGTTTGAAGGATGCAAGCAAGCTTACATTCTAAAGTTTGATGATTCGAGTTTGATGTATGAGAGAGAGGAATCGTCGGAGAAGTTGGTTTGTGAAGGTAAAAAGTGTTGTAGAGAATATATAAAGAGGTTTTTGGCGGCGATTCCGGTGGCGGAGTTGGCGGCAAAGGAGGAGAAAGGGAATGTAGTGGATGTGTCTCTTCTTCATGAGAAACTTCAGATTGATTTGCATCATATTATGTTGACTAACGATGATTAGGGCTAGTTTTTGTTTTTCTGACTATTGATTGGTGACTCGTTAGTGTAGATTTGTTAGGATGGTGAGATATAGAGAGAGTATTTTTGTGCATATGGTCGAGATAATGTGTTGGGATAAGTCGAGAAAAAGTTTTCATTTGTCCTGGCTTATGTACTAAAATCAAAACAGGGTTCCTTTTTGGCATGTTTTTGAGAAAGAAAAAAAAAACAACCTGAATCCGAACCTAATGTAGGTGATTCGATTTAGTTTCTGTTAAAGCTTAAAACTGAGTTAACATTTTTAGAAATTTTTTGTTGTCGGTTCTGTGTGCAATGGGTAAAAACCATAAAACCTGACGGTACTAAAAACAGATATGAGAAAATAATAGAGCAATGCTTCCGATATGAGAAGAAAAATAGAGTTTATGTTGGAACCTGCATTTCTAGGCATAAAAACAGATGTTTATAAATGTTTCTAACTAAATGATCATTAAAGCACCATTATGAAAATGGAACACTATATATCGATTAGTCTATGCTCCTTATGGGATGCAACTAGTCCCTATATTTTGACCAAATTTGATATTAACTTTTGTCATACTACTATCCCAATGGCTAAGATACTCTAGGTACAAATCCATCAAAGTTACAAGCATCCTAAACATCACGGATCAAGTGGCTAGGATTCACTTTCTCGCAAAATAGTGATTTAATAATTTTCATGGAACACCTTTCGGCTGTGGCTGTTTAAGAATTAGTATTTGGTCTTGGTTATATACATCAAAATTTCCAGCGGATTTTGTGACAAAAAAAAAAAATCAGTCAGAAATGGATCTAACGATAACATGCCAAACGGCTTGAAATTTCCTACGTAATTTCTGATAACCAAAATTTTCTCAAACCTTTTGGATGAATTTGTTCGGAAAACGTCCATCGGAAATGGCTTTAACGATAATATTCCCAACTGTTTGGAATTTATGACAAATACCCTATCAGTAATTTTCAACATTCACAATATCATTGGCATTTTCTGATAAATTTTAATATATTAGAAATCTCCATCAAATTTCCAACGAAATTGTGATCATCCACATGGAAGAATTATCGCATAAATCTGTCAAGATTTGTATACACATTACAAAAGCAAATTGGTTAAATCTTGATGATCGATCTCAGAGTCAAAACACGCCTCTGATTTGTTATTTGTATTTACTGCATTTTAACGTGACGTTGGTCACGTTGCAATAATACATCATATTAGCATAGGTTAGTGAGTGGATCAATCTAATCTTTTTATTACTAATTCCCATTCACCTCTTCCCTGCCTCTGATATTTTGTTCGTTGGGAAAAACTAAAGATGTAAATCAATATGCATACATAGAATTCACCATTCTTACTTTATATAAAAATAAGTAGAAACAAAAGCATCATATAAAATACATGCAAATGCTTCAATACAAAACTATTTGAGAAACATGTAAGATTCAAACTCAAAACTAAAAATATCCTACCAGATTTTGCCCTTATTCTGACCAATTATCTTGGTGAGCCACTCCGGCTTGTATGAAGCAATGACTTGGGCTATTCCCAATCCAATCAACAGTCCAAGTCCATACCCTATTGCCACTGCTTTCCAATCTAACACTTGTTCTTCTTCTTCTTCTTCTTCTTCTTCTTCTTTCTTATGGTCCTGTCTTGGAGATGCACTAGTGTCGAAGCAACTTTCCTCGAGAGGAAAACCACAAAGCCCTGCATTCCCTTCAAAGGAGGATTTCAATTGCCCAGTAATTTGTGTTCCTTGTGGTATTTCACCATTGAGTTGGTTATGAGACACACTTATGTACGCCAAAAACGAGAGGGCCTTGAGTCCATTAGGAATAGTCCCTGAGAGCTGGTTTCTTGACATGTCTAGTGACTGGAGCTCCTTAAGATTGGCCAAAGACTGAGGAATATGGCCTGTAAAAGCGTTGTTTGATAAGTTGAGTGCAATCAATGCCTTTAAAAGGCCAATGGATTCAGGAATGTTTCCTTCAAGTAGATTTCTAGAAAAATCAATGGTGCTGTAGGAAGTTAGGACCTTCGCTTGCTCCATGTGTAGACCTTTGTACTTCAAATCTATACGATCCAAAAAGGTATAGACAACTAAACCATAAGGATTCTTCTCGTAAACCATATATAAACCCGCATATTCATTCATCTTGGAGGACGATACTTTCCAATTCACAAAATATCTTGGCGGCAAGCTTCCAGTAAATTTATTATCAGATATCTCAAGTATTCGCAGCTCTGGAAACCCAAGAGGACCTTGATGAGGAGGAGATATAGGACCATAAAACTTGTTTGAACTGAGGGTAAGGACTTGTAACTTTGGTAAAGCCTTGAGCCAGAAAGGAAATGTGTCTTTGATTCTGTTGTTGTCAACGCTTAGAAACTCTAGAGATGAGCAATTCAAAAGAGACCTTGGAAGTTTCCCGGTTAGTCGATTGTATCCAACATCAAGTGTCCGTATGGAGGAACCGACAATGAATGTGTCCGGAATAGTTCCTTCCAAATTGTTTTTCCGGAGATTTACAAACGTCACATTACTCAAACATTGAGGAATTGGACCGATGAGGTTGTTGTAGTTTAGATCAAGGACACCAAGCGAGGTTCTGGTGCATATTGATATAGGTATCTTCCCAGTGAAATTATTATAACCCGCAGAGAAGGCGTTGATAGAGTGTGGTAGACTAGGAAGTGCTCCTTGAAAGTTGTTTGACTTTAAAAGTAATATCCGCACCGATGAACTTACTAAAACTTCCGTTGATCCTTCAAAACCGTCGAAAGAATTATTTAAAATATTCACTAAATGCAGAAGAGGAAGGCTCCATAACCATTCAGGGATTTTTCCGTCGATTCTATTGTTGGATACGTCTATAGCTTCCAATTTTTGAAGGGTCTTGAATATGTTTGGGAACTCTTTGAGGCCACAGTGCTTTAAGAACATCATTGCCATGTTTAATGGGATGTATGAATCTGAACTTAAACTGGCTAGAGATATACTATTACCGGAAAGATCAAGGTGCACCAAAGATTTGAGAGAAGAGAAGAGTTTTAAGTCTATTGGGTGGCTTGTGTTTAGATAAGAAAGGTCGAGATGTGTGAGGTTGGTGAGCTTTGAGACAGGCTCTATGATATTTCCTTCAAAATGGTTAAACCCAAGGTACATGTACTCAAGCCTAAATGACGTAAAGGAGTTAGGAACTTCAATAGAACCAGTGAGATTGTTTTCACGAAGATCAAGATAAAATAAATAAGGATTAGTGAAGAGGGAAGAAGGAATGGTTCCAGAGAAATCATTTTTATAAAGATTTAGAACAGAGAGGTTAGTTAGATTTTGTACAAGCGGGATAGTACCGGTGAGCTTGTTTTGGTCAAGGTACAAAAGTTTTATCTGGGTTAGGTTACTAATTGTGGGAGGAACTTGACCGAAGAAGCCACTAGAGGAAAGAGAAAAGACCTCTAAATTGTTGAGATAGCCAAATTCGGAAGGGAGTGAGGAACTGAAGTTATTGACCTCGAGATTAAGGTAACGAAGACGGTGCAACTCAAAGAGGCTACTATTGGGATTCAAAGTTCCAGAGAAGTGATTATGAGAAAGGTCTAAAAGTGTGAGCTTGGTTAGATTCTGCAAAAGTGGGAAACTACCGGTGAGATCGTTTTGGGAAAGGTCTAACTGATAAAGCATGCTAAGGTTACTAAATGAGGAAGGAACTTGGCCAAGGAAGCTATTAAAGGAAAGGGATAAGACCTCTAATTTGTTGAGATTTCCAAACTCGGAAGGGAGGGAAGAGGAGGTGAAGTTGTTGTGAGAGAGATCAAGGTAGCGAAGATGATGAAACTGGAAGAGGCTGCTGTTGGACTTGAGAGTTCCACTAAGACAGGCCCGTAGTCGTAGCTTCGTGACCGCACCTGTGGAGTTATCACACCAGATTCCATTAAAGTAGTCACTGTGGTTACAACGGCGGGTATCAAACTCGTTCTTGAACTGTATAAGGGCTTGAAACTTGTGGGGATGACAACGTACCAGACCAGCAACAGGATTATTTGTAATGAATCTTATAATGACAAAGCTTGAAGGGGAGACACAACAAAGTAAGAGTAGAGAGAGAAAATGCAAACGCATGGTCGTCATGAAATGTTTTTAAGAAGAATGATTTTGTTTAAGGAAAGTGAGAAAAAAATGATATAAATAAAGGGGAGGTTTTTCATTGAAACATGACTTAGAAGAAGTCAGAGCTAACTAAGGTCAGAAGAAAAGTATACGTAAGTGCCAAGTTTTTTTTTGGTATGATGCATATGTGCCAAGTTGATATCTAAGAGCCACAAAAATCATGACGTGAAATCCACGTTACTAAATTTCACCAACGTAAAATTTGGAATGGAAATCCACATCAGTTTGAAATTTATAACCTATGTTCAGACACATTTGCTACGTTTTTGGATCGGAGGATGGAGAAGTTTATACCTCTTAGAGCTTTACAAAATAACATGTGGCATTGATTATTTTTTTTGGATTGTCAAAGTTCAAAGTTAGGGTCTTAGGGACGTGATAAAGAGGCATGGATTATTGTTTGTTTGTAGATTTGTCGAAGTTCAAACTTCAAAGTTAAGGACTTGTCAAAGTGATTATATCACTCTCTGATTCGTCATTCTTACGTCGCGTGAGTGAGGGAGAGAGGTGGCGAGAGTTCTGCTTCGATGCTTCAAGTACACTAGAGCTCTTAAGTGCTAGTGTTAACAGCCCCGGCCCAATAATTAGAGGCCTTAGGATAAACAAATTTTTGGACTTTTTAATACAAAAACTTTTAAGCAAATTTATATATTTTTGGGCTTATTTGAAAAAAAAAAAACACTTTTGGGCCTTTTTCGAAACAAAATGGTGAAAATCTTAAATAGTTGGGGCTAACGTTAAAGGTTGAAAATATAATCGTATTTCGGGTATTTCGGTTACCCGAAATATTTCGGTTCGATACCGATTTGGTTACGGTTATTTCGGTTATTAAATTTACTATCTATTCGGTTATTTTCAAATTTTCGGTTCGGTTCGGTTCGGTTTTTTTCTTCGATTTCGATTCGGTACATTCGGTTCAGTTTATTTGCTCAGGCCTACTTGGGACTTGTTTTCTTAACAAATCTTAAAATATTAAAATTTTGGGCTTTTTTGTTGAAAATTTAAATTTATTCATAGAAAAAAAGTATTTACGGGAGTGGAAAAATCAAATGAATCAATAAGAAGGTGTTATTCAATCATGAAATTTGAATCAATTCTAAGGTTTAGAATTGAAATTCGATATTTTTAAGAAACTATTTGTGTGGATTTCAAAAACTCTGTTGTATATCTAGGATTTTCATTCTATTAATTTAATTTACTTATAAAACTCCCAAGTGATTTCATTTAAAATGACTCAATATATAAGTCTTCTAGGTTTTGAATAACACTAAATATTTGATTTACAAATATAAGATTAAACAACACCAAATATTAATTAAGTCAAATTGAGAGGGATAGTCCTCATAATCTCATATTTGATCTCATGTATTAGAAAAACGATTTCGTAAATAAGGATAGTGATAAATTAATTTATCCAGAAACGTGTACGTGACCTGGTTTCAAAAATGAGACACCCTTACTTGAGTTGGTCATGAAAAACAACAGCTTAGCTTTTCTTTTTTATTATTCTCCACAAGCAAATAATATAAAGAATTTCTCTGTAAAAGGTGTGAGATGGCAGAGGAAACAATAAATCATGTTTTATTTGAGTGCACTCATTCTCAGAAAATATGGGAATTATCCGATATACCTACGGCAATAGGTAGTTTTCCTCTAACCTCGAAATTCTCAAATCTAGATTATCCTTTTTGGAAGTTACCATCTAATCTGGATGAGGGAGAGAAAACCTTCAGTTATGCTTGGATTTTGTGGTTCATCTGGAAAGATAGGAATAAAAAGGTTTTCAAGGGATTACAATCTGAACCCAGAGACATTTTAAATCATGCTTTGAGTGAAAAAAAAATTTTTTTGAAAGAATGTAAAATTTATTCAATAAAAAAAACCAGTGTTACAACAAGTGCATCAGTTTTGAGTTTTATAGAAATACTCTGTTTTAAATTACAAGCTTAAGTTTGAGTAGAAAACCAAAACATGAGAAGGTCTGCATACTTGTGGTTCCCCGAGCTGCGAAGAAGTGTGATCTTGTTCCGAATTGTTTTCCCTATCATTTGGCTAAGGCGAGGGGCTGGAATGTGAGCTTCGCCATGCCTGCGGTTGTTCCGTTCTCTCCAAATGTAGTGGACAGCAACCTGAAGAGAATACCGTAGAAGCAGCAGAGTGTGTTTGCCGAGAGTTGAGCTTGAAACAAGTGACTTGATCTGGTCCCATTGAGAGGTGTAATGAATCCCTAGGAGACCCTTTGTTGTTTGTTCCCAAATATGATGAGAGTAGCTACAGCTGAAAAAGATGTAGTTTCTAGTCTCCACCGGTTCTTGACAGAAGACACAAGCTGAGTGTGCACCCTGATTCCATTTCAACATTCGGTCACCCATAGACAATCGATTGTGCATTCCAAGCCAAGTTATGAACGCAAATTTCGGAGTGGCTTGCGGGAACCACACGCCCTTTGCCCATTCACAAACGTGGCTCTCTGTTCTAATGAGCTTCCATGTTTCGCTAGTGATAAACTTCTGCTTGAACCCTGCTCTTCCTTTCCATAGGTGCACATCATCAACAGCTCGTCGTTGTTTCTGCTTTACTTTCTCTATCTTTGTTTCGATTCTGTTTAATAGGTCCACACGATGATACCTTCGTCGATGGTTGTGTAGGACTGTTTCAACAGTGGCAGTCTTCGCAATCCCGAGATCAATGCATCCCCTGTCTCCAAGCATATCAGACATCTTCCCCATGGAAGTCCATCGGTCATACCAAAAAGATGTGTTTCTTCCACTTTTGATTTCCATTCGGTGGAACTCTTTGGCTACATCCCTTAGTTTAAGTAGCTTTCTCCACATCCAGGATCCCTGCGCAGAAGACCCGCGGATGTTCCAAAAAGACTTGTTACGGATTAGATATGTGTGAACCCACTGTCCCCACAAAGACGTCTTAGCTGCGAGCAACCTCCATATTAGCTTTAGACCGCAAACTGTATTTGTTTCCTTTAGTGGCCTGAGACCTAAGCCTCCTTCACGTTTGGGAAGACAAACTGTTTGCCATCCTATCTTTGCACTGTGAGTCTTTAATTCTGGTCCACTCCACAAGAAAGCAGAACATAGTTTTTCTACTTCTTTCATACATTTTCCCGGTAAACAAAAGGCCGATGACCAGAAATTAGTGATACTCAGAAGAACTGACTTTATAAGTTGCAGTCTTCCTCCATACGAAAGGAACCTGCTTGTCCAAATACTGATCTTGTTCCGTATCTTCTCAATAAGAGGGAGATAGTCACTGCTAGACATTGCTTTGGTCATGAGTGGTAGCCCGAGATAACGCACTGGTAGAGTTCCTCCTTCAAATGGAAAATTTTGCAAAATCTCTTCCTGAGTGGTTTGTTGGATCCCAGCCATGAATAGAGCCGACTTCTCTAAACTGATCTTCAAACCCGATATCTTGGCAAACTCATCAAAAATAGTGATGATACTCTCCACTGATCGCTTTGTTCCTTCTGCAAAGACCATTAAATCATCTGCAAAACATAAATGCGTTAAGAGAATGTTATGGCACCGTGGGTGATAACCAAATTTATTCTCCGCCGCTGCTTTGTTTATCAAGTGAGATAGTACATTCATGCAGATAACAAACAGGTAAGGTGATAGAGCACATCCCTGCCGCAAACCCCGTGAGCTACCAAAGAATCCCGCAAGCTCACCATTAACTTGTACCGAAAACGTTGCTGTTGTTACACATGACCGAATCCAGTGAATAAATTTTTTCGGGAAGTTCAAAGCCTGCAGCGTGTTGAGCAAGAAAGACCATTGAACCGAGTCGAAAGCTTTGGAAATATCAATTTTCATCGCACATCGGGGCGATATATCTTCTTTATGGTAATCTTTGACCAGTTCAGATGCAAGTAAGACATTTTCCATCAGTAAGCGATCTTTCACAAAAGCGGTTTGGTTTGAAAGAATGATCTCCGGTAGCAGTTCCTTTAAACGATTTGCTAGTATCTTTCAACCTTTAACGTTAGCCCCAAAACTCAGTTGGATCCGATCGAAACTAGTTCTATTACGGAAACTTTGGAACGACCGGTTCAATCTATAAAATGTCGGATTGATGGCTCTTGGAAAAATTCAGATCCAACAATGGGTATAGGATGGTGGTGTTTTCAAGGAAATAATCAAACGATACTGCTCGGTGCAAAGTGCCTTCGGAGGTGTCCCTCCCCTCTTCACTCGGAGATGGAAGCTTTAATTTGGGCTATGAAGAATATCCTTTCAAGAGAGATCGATTGTCAGGTGTTTGAAACAGACTGCTCGGAGTTAGTCTCGATGATACAGTCACCGGATGAATGGCCTGCTTTCTCCAATTTGCTAGACGAATTTGGTTTTCTCCGTGTCTCTTTCCCGTTCTTCTCGCTTTCTCTTATTTTTCGTTTATGTAATGTTCAAGCGGACTGCTTAGCCCGTTCTTCTAGACTTTTATTTTCTGAAGTTACTTTTGTAAACTCTTCTCCTCCTAATTGGGCAACCAATCAAGGAGTTATTTATTAATTAATGTCTGGTCGACGAAAAAAAAAATAATATAAAGAATTTGTCATTATACATATATTTTGGTAATGGACGGTCACATATTAGCTGTCAAATATATATATAACACATTGAGTCACCTAAACCTAACTCTTTTGATCTGACAGAGACTTCCACATACATCTCGTGCTTTCGTTTTCCAATCTCAACTATAAAAAGATGAATCATATTTATGGAATATTAGAAAGAAAAACAAGAAAGCGACAAATCTGTTTCACCTAATAATCTACAAATGAACCAATGGCTTCAAAAGAGTGGCTATGTTTCACTTGTCTGTTTTGGACAACACAACCCAAAATATAACCAGTCCTATGGAGACTTTCTAAGTCACAAGTCACAACTATCCGACAAAAGTGTCCATAAGTAACTTTTAAAACAGTGGTAACATGAAACATATCAAAATGTTATACAGAATTGGAATCAAGATTCTCAAGAAAGTGTACATAAACTATAAATCAAACTCGAGCAGACAGAAGGAAGATTGAATCGTTTTACGACAATCCGGGGATATGATAAAAACACACAAGATCAATGGTGGAAGACGAGTCATCTACACATATATGAGTGGGTGCAAAAAAACAAAAAAGAATGAATTAGTAAGGATTGTTGTAGTAATACCCCGTCGGTGGCGGTCCCATCCCGTTGACAGGTGGCATTCCGTAAGCTGGAACTGGACCGGTGTTCATCTTAGCCAAACTGGCTTGACCTCTCATTCCTTCACGCTGGTATTGCTGCCATAGCTGTTGCTCTTGACTCAGTAGATACTGCTTCTTCTCCATCTCGGCCATTTGCACATATGAAGGTGGTGGAATGGTTAGTGAAGCTGCGAATGGGTCTTGGTTCACTTTCTCGACAGTTCCATCTGGTGCAGGTAAGGCCAATACTTGATTGTTGGTTTTACCTGGTAAGGGTAAAGCTACGCTGCTCGCGCTACCACCAGT